ACGCTATTAAATACTGTGAATATGTATAGGCATGCGCTGTGGATGCGGTACTCCCTGGTGTGGATTAACGTCCGCACTAGTGAGTACTACGACTATCCGCAGTACTATCCTGACCAATTCGTCAGTACCAAGGCAAAAATGTGTTTCGGTATCCACTATAAACTGTAGGTCCCTTAGTTGCCATTAGCTGTATGGGCTATTAATTAACAGCTGTATCTAAGGAATATGTTTGCCTTAGTGCTGTAAAATAAAATTAACAAGGCTACAAGATCGCGCCACTCATCTTACACTCATCTCCATTCATATTTGGCTTAAAATATCTACTTTGTATGGTTGCCATTTAAATAAAAAGTATTTAAGTATTAAAATAATGTGTTTTTCACCACATTATACAAAAATACCCAATACACACACACTAACCTTCAACAAACTACAACTTTAAGGTTATGAGAAGAAATATTCAGAAGAATCAGCAACAATAATAATAAATAGTTGCTAGACAGCGGTGACAATAAAACAGGCCTATTGCAATATGCGACTCTGAACTAGTTTCAATTAAGGAGGTTCCAATGCAAACATCAAACAGTGTTTGTTACAAATAAGCTTATTCAATATACCATATAAATCAGCCTATACGAATACATCTGTTAGTTCACTATATGCAATTTAGGATTTTGGTTACCTTCCTAAAATATCTAAATGTAATAGTAAATGTCCACGTAATATGCATTACATGTTTTACATTTCTAATAATTTGAACAAATAAACTAAAATTTACATAATAAACACATCACAGTAATATTTAATGAGAAAATCCTAAATTAAAACTTGTGAGCAGGGCATTTATGGGAAATGGGTATTTAACCACAGCTATTTATACCCGGGTATTCCACATCTATAGGTATATACCATCCTTGGCGAAAGGCATAGCTAAAATTAATAGTACACTTCGCTTTTCCTAATTATAAAAAAGTACCAGATGACCGAGTCATGGTTTGGTATAGTTTATTTCGACTGTAAAAGCAAAGGAAACTCGTGTTTTATTTTCAACTAATTTTGGCTTTTATTATTTAAGTTCAAAAATATATTTATTAGTTTGAAGAATCGAATTGAAAAATCTACCCTTAAATAAGAGTGAAACATTGAGTTGACGCCAGTGCACTCAAACGGCACCAACACGTAAACACTCATCATTCCATCAACACTGACTTGATCTTTTTTTTCCCTTATATCGAGTAATCTTCAGTATAATCTCAATAAATGTTTATCACTTTGTACTGTATTTTGTAATTTGCTAGTATACTGTGGATGGCTTGTTATAAACACATGTTAAGAGTTTTTTGTTTACTTTTTACCTGTTATATTGTTCAACCAACATAATTATTTGGCAACCTATAAGGCCAATGTAAAATTTTTAAATTTTCAAATGAGTAGTGTAGCGAAATAAGAATTTTCCTGAGGTAGTGGCTGTCGTCAATCATGTTTTTAAGGCTGTAAGTCCCTAATTCCAAAATGTTGTCAAAATCCTTCCGCTGGATTTCGAGATATATATTACAGACAGAGAGACAGACAGATAGACAAACAGACTTTGCTCGTTTTAGAGTATAGGACTAAGAGTAGATTACAAAGAGTACGTAAATACAATTATTAGAACATTGTGAGGTAAATGCCTTTGGCTGAATGTCGAGATGCTCATATTAGTTTAAGGTGAATGTACTTGTTGTTGTTATTTAAGGTAACATTTCTGTTTAGGTAAAATCTCAAATTAGGTATGATATTAACCTATGATCTATTCGCGAAATGTTGAACCCGTTACAAAATCTAGCTGATGAAACACTACAAACAACATCTATAGTGTGATGATTGATTGAAACAATCAAACAATTTCACTGTCTTTTACTATTTTTCAGGGACAATCCTATGATGTACTAACAACGAAGATCAGTGTAAAGATTTCTAGTACTAAACAACACCTTACGCCTTACAATTCTGGATACAAATATACAAAATGTTTCAGAATTCGGTCGGATATTTTAGGGTATTATTCCTGGGTAAGAACCATATCCAAATATCATATTTAAATTGTCCGGAAGTTTTTCGTTAGGTACTCATACAGCCACCATTTTGTTTTTCACTTATTAATTGTTTTCTAAAAAGTGGTATAAGATACGAAATTGAAACTTTGCACAACAATTTATGACAACTTGACAAATCTCCAACAAAATTATGACAATTTTTAAAATACATAACACAAAATGCAGCCATTTAAAATTTTGTTTCTTAAATAACTCAAAAACCGTTGATTTTACCAATTTTTTACGATTTAACTTTTTCAAGACAATTTAATTACAAATTGATTGACACCTTATTTTTTAAGATTAGACGAATATTAACGGAATATTATGGCAGCTTTAGTAATACGTGACCGCTGGAGGTTAGTTGTAGTGCATGTCGAGGCATGCAGCTGAAGTCTGCCACAACAATGCATCAGTCTCCGTCCGCCTTGCAAGTTGTTTTTAAGCGATTTTAGATTATTTCAAACAATAATAAAATAAATCATAACCCCAAAAAATGTATTTTTTCAATTATCTATTGTTAGGATGGCTTTAAAATTGCACACCTTTTTACTGTATTTAAAATTCACACAAAACACCCAATTTTATTATATCAGTTGGGGTGAAAGTCAACGTACTTGTTTACAAACTAATCAGCTGATTTTATTGTTGTCTGAAGATGTTATTGTTTATTCAATGTAGTCAGTTCCTATTAACTTTTACACTGAGTGTGTAACATTTAAAAAGTGAGTTTAAAAAGTTAGAGGAACTGACTACATTGAATAAACAATAACAAATTCAGACAACAATAAAATCAGCTGATTAGTTTGGAAACAAGTACGTTGACTTTCACCACAACTGATATAAAAAGTTTGCGTGTTTTGTTTGAATTTTAAAGACAGTAAGATGTTTGTGCAAAGTTTCAATTTCGTATCTTTTACCACTTTTGAAAATAATTAATAAGTGAAAAAACAAAATGGACGCTTTGTGAGTAACTAAGGACTTATGATATTTTGATATTTTTCTTACCTGGTAATATTACCCTAAAATATCCGGCACGAATTCTGAAACACCTTGTATTATATACTCTCACCGCAGCAAACCTGCAAAATATAAGAATCTGCATTTGCATTATTAGATCAATTATATAAACGTAAATAACATTAGCGGTTTCCTGTTACAGGGAGGGTAATAAAGTGTGTTTTAGTAAATTAGTAGCTTAGTATAAATTCAATAAATTTGGCTAAGTTTGATCAAAATCTATCCTTAATCAAGCAAACTACAACTGTTTACCAATCTCCCAATCTGAATAATATGGGATGTTATTACATTTGAATTATTTTAAATTTAATTTTTTTTATTTCTGCGCAACAAATAATGGTAAAAGACAGCGTTATACTAAATCATTAGTTTTTTTAAAGCTCTGTAAAATGGTTTATATTGCGAAATTCTATGTTGAGGGTTTGAGTGTCAAAAACGAGAAAACCAATTGTTACCCCATAAAACCCCGTTCCCGTGGTCTGATCATGTTGGTTCGCGAACTCATTCAAGCTTATCTCGCCCTACATCTTACAGAAAGATATTCATCATAATCGGACAAAAATTACTCTAGTTATCGCATTCACGGACGTATCATAGACGTGATAGAATAGTGCTTTTGACCTCTAGGGCTATAAAAATGAAGAAGTGGTAATAACTACTTCTCTATAGGGAAATTCACTTAATAAATAATTAATAAATGAATGGTGGTTTTCGCGAGTGATTTAGCCTTTCAGTTTTTTTCTAATCGCCTGATCGTTTCGGCCAACATCGTTAAAAACCAATCAAGACAATGACTAAAATATATTGTTTTTCTTCCTAATCCATCAATGATATCTTACATCAATGCGATGACCCTTGTCAAGGATCAATTCGGTCTTTTTCTTTTAACACTTTATTCGCAGTTTGCTCGTTTCATGTTTTCTTTAGTTGAGTCATTCGTTTCTCTGTGATAACCCAAGCTGTAGCACTGAAAAATAAAATTCTGCGAGGAGAATGGTAGTATAAATCATTAGGCTTGATTTTTGATATTGTAATTGTTCGGTAGAACACTTTGTTCCCAGTTGATTAGATTAGGGTCGTAAATATACGTAACTAAGCTAAAAATTCTTCATTTTCACTCATCTAGCATTTCTTCTATCCTAAACCTTCGCTATGTTAGTATCAGTGCCATAAATTATGAATATGTGATAGTTAGATTAGCACAAAACATAGACCTCAAACCACTTTAAATGCAACCCAAAATAGCTTGACACCTGGAAGCTGGTATCCACCCTATGAGTTAGTGTATGCCTTAAAAAATCACCCTGTGTTCGGTAGATGAGATGAATAACTTTTATAAATACTGTGGATGAATGGCATAACAAACTTATCTATAGCAAATATTTCTTATATATTTTAAAAATAACATAAACAAGATACATTTTACATACAAATATCACATAATGATAATACTGTTTCGGGAGGAAAACAGAGAAAGATTTATTGAAACGCTTGAAGGCAAGCTTTCTAAGAATTTTAAAACAAGGAAAGCAATTATTGAAGGATTCCATGGAAAATATTTTCTACTAAAGTTTATTTCATACCAATTATATAAGTTAATCAGGTTCAATCTCCACCCACACAACATGGGGTTTTCACGGTGTGCTAACAATAACCTTGTTATTGTAGCTAATTTCATCATAGAACATACCTTTATGGAAGTTTTTTCGTTAAATGTACAGTTTGTTTAGTTGCATTTATACATAGCTTACACACTCATAAGTATATACTTAAGTGTAATAAGTAAGCAGTGTTAGTCAGTGAGTAAGTCAGTGAACCTAAATGTGAATGTTTATCTTAATAGTCTCTGATTTTCCCTGAAGACCACCGAATGTTGCCAGCGGGTTCAGTTTCAGTGACCTTGCGATGCTGTTGTTGCTGCTCTTCATTCCTCATGTTTTAGCTGGTAAATAGTTTTATTGTAAACTTATTTAATTATAAAACCATTTTTTAGTACAACGAGTCATTGTTTAAAGAACAACACTAGGTCAATTTGATCAACTAGGTTAATTTGGTTACGCGTCCATGCATTCGTTATAGCCATTGGTTTTTTTCCATACGTGTACAAACTATTAATGTTTTTGCACTTTAATGTAACTATATCTTTTCATTAAGAATCTAATTATATGTCACATGATATTTAACAGGGTTATATATATTTGCAAAGGATATTTTCCTTTCTGCACCACAGTTCAATAGTCAAGAGTGTTTGGTAATTTGTGTAATGGTTGTACAGCAGTCTGTATTACACGTGAAAACATTTTGGTCATGTTGTATGTGTGATGATATAGCCTGATACTTTGTGGATAGATAAATAGAATGGATTGGCGTTGAATTATCATTCATAGACATGCAACATACTCTAAAACTTGTTGATGTTCTACCATCCCCTAAATAACTCCCTATGTATTTTACGTTATTTAAATTATTTCAAAAGAAACTTTAATTTTAAAAAGTTATTAAGACTACATCTATAAGGATATTGAGGAGTATTTGCATTTTTAAGTTTAAAACCACAGACAGCATCGACTTACAGTTGTATAAAAATGGGAAATTAATTAGAAGTTTTCCATTCAGCAATGGAAACTTACTGGGTAAAAACCATTCTAGTTGTTGCTAACTTTTTGAAAGCTGATTTAGTAGTTTCGTTTATAACTAGAAATTACTAAATGCATGACCATCGTACGAAAATATGAAAATATTTTTCCGTACATAAAGGATTGAAATGCAGTTTAACATATATTTCTGTTAAGATATTGTTTTATGTATCTTTTTCAATCATTTTAGCCTCTGGATTTATATATTAATAATTGATATTATAAGGCCTTACCTTAGCAATCCTGTTTTTTTAACAGTTTTTTTTAGCAAAAAACAGGATTTCTAAGGTAAGGCCTTATAATATCAATTAATATCTTTTTTGACAGCGTGATCGTTTGTGATTTGTATATATGGTTGTCAGAATTATATTGTTTAAGAAATATAGTATCTAAAAATTAATTGGCCCAAAAGTTTAGATGCTTTTAACTGATTCCAGATCCGGGCTTTTCCCGAGAATGGCGGCCTCCATCTCAAGCGCAAGTGATTGGAGTCGGAACAGCCAACCACACGTCACCATCAGGGGCCTACAGCTACGGAGGGGCTTCCAGCTGGGCCGGAGGCTATGGCAAACCTTCCCCGGGCTCCACCTCCAGTGCTCAAGCCTCAGCGACCGCAGGAGGAATGACCTACAGCTCGGGGTCATCAGCCTCAGGGGCTAGTGCTCAGTCATCATCATCAGGAGGATCAGGAGAAACAGCATCTGCAAACGCTTCAGCGAACTCAGGAGGATATTACGGATACTACGGGAACCAATCAGCACCTTCCAACGCTGGAGGCTCGAGTGGATATTATACAGGATCTTCAGGAGCGGCTGGCACTCCAGGGACGTCCCCAGCACAAACATCATCAAAGCCGACCGGATACTACTCATACTGGTACAGTCCGAATGGTACTTCAGGGTATAACTACCCATACTACTACTATCATAACCGACCAGCTCCAACATCAAGCAGCAATGTGGGAGCAAACAACACCACAACTGGTTGTTACTCAGGCAACTACAATAGACCAGGATGTGAAAACAGGCCTTCAGGTTGGGCTGGCTATTATAATGGAAGCTATTATTACAGACCCACCACTCCGCCCAGCGTTGGAAGTGAGTCTTCAGCATCGACCTCGGGAGGAAACTACGAGTACAGACCACAAACTTCTTCAACGGAAGCTCCTCCAAGTACGACCGGATATTCGCAAGGATCCTCTTCGACTGGAAGTGGTAGTGCTCCTTGGTGGCTCAACGGTGTATTTGCATCAGCTGTATCCGGCTCGGCTGCCACTAGCAGTAGCTCGTCTGTATCCTCGAGTAGCTCTTCTTCTGGAAATGAGGCAGAACTGGGATCTGGATATTCTTCCGGTTTTCAAACACAATCTGGATCTTCTGTCGGAGGTTCGTCAACCGGTTCCCATACCGGACCATGGATAGAATATAAACCAGGATCTTCAACTTCGTCTGGTACCACAAGTGGTTCTAGTAGTTATTCAGGTAGCTTTGGTAATTTTGGAAGTAATTCGAATTCGAATACGAACACGAATAATAACGTAGGCGTATCGAATAACAACGAGGAAGGATCGAATAATTCGGCTAACCTTGGAAACAACTCAGGTGGCTTTGGCAGTGCAGGAGGATTCAACGGTGGTGTTAGTAGTTCTGGTGGCAACACAGGAGGTTATAGTGGTTCAGGGGGCTTCAATGGTGGCTCAAGTAGTTCTGGTGGTAATACAGGAAGTTATAGTGGTTCAGGAAATGTTGGTGGTAGTACAGGTAGTTCGGGAAGTCTTGGTGGTAGTTCAGGTAGCTCAGGGAATTTTGGTGGTTCAGGGGGATTCAGTGGTGTTTCAAGTAGTTCTGGTGGTAATACAGGAGGTTATAGCGGTTTAGGAAATGTTGGTGGTAGTCCAGGTAGTTCGGGAAGTCTTAGTGGTAGTTCAGGGACTTTTGGTGGTTCGGGGGGATTCAGTGGTGGCTCAAGTAGTTCTGGTGGTAATACAGGCAGTTACAGTGGTTCAGGAAGTGTTGGTGGTAGTTCTGGTGGTTCGGGAGGTCTTGGTGGTAGTTCAGGTAGCTCAGGGACTTTTGGTGGTTCAGGGGGATTCAGTGGTGGCTCAAGTAGTTCTGGGGCTTATACAGGAAGTTATAGTGGTTCAGGAAGTGTTGGTGGTAGTTCTGGTGGTTCGGGAGGTTTTGGTGGTAGTTCAGGTAGCTCAGGGACTTTTGGTGGCTCAGGGGAATTCAGTGGTGGCTCAAGTAGTTCTGGTGGTAATACAGGCAGTTATAGTGGTTCAGGAAGTGTTGGTAGTAGCTCAGGTTATTCAGGTAGCTCCGTTAACTCAGGAAGCTCTGGAGGTGGTAGCTCAAGTATTAGTGGTGGGTATTTGGGTAACTACGGTGGCTACTCTGGTAATCAGGGTTCCACGAGTACAGGCACAGCTTCAGGACAAACGAGTGTTGATTCGTCAAGTGGTAATGGAGGAGGTTGCAACGGGTTGAATTCAATGACTTCAAGCTGGACCTCTATAGGATACGGAAATGGGACTGAATCCTACTATAGTTCCATCAGTACGTCAGGACCTCCTCGAAATCCCAGTGTGGTGATAGCCATTCACGCTCCGTGGTGGCTGTACGGAGGATTCTTTGGTACAGCGTTCGCCTCTTCAATTTCCCCAGTGGGTTTATCTCCAGGGGCACAAAGTGGTTCTAGTGTTTCGAACAATGGATATTCTGGCTCTGACCCTCCTGCTATAGCTTTTCCTGGAGGTACGTAGTGTAAAAAACATTTATTCTCTCTAGATTTATTAGCTTTCAAATTACCCTTAAAGTTCCTCGGTTCGAGATTATCTAAAATGTGATTAATTGGATATACCGTTCCATGAGTTTTCGATACTTATGAACAAGTTTAAATAGCAAATACGCATTGAAATTTATGAATGTAAAACGGAATATATCAATATAACTATTTTAAAACTAATTTTGACCGTACTTTATATCACGTGAGTCCTAAAATTTGCAAACAACTACTATTTATAACAACCAAAGGATATTGACCTTGTTTTATTATGCTGATAGCACAAACTGTTCACATATACAGTAAATATATCCAAATATATCATTGTAAATTAGCATAGAAAGGTGATTTTAAAGCTGTTGGCCTGGTTGCAGACTCAGACAGCATCGGAGCGACTAACTACACGGGATACCACGGGGGCAGCGACTATCAGTCTGGGACAGACGCTGGGGAAGGACCTCCAGCTGATCCTGATTCGCAAACCTTCACAAATACTGGATCAGAGAGTGATCTTTACCCACAATTGATACCTCACAAGCCTCCCAACTACCAGCCGGGTGATTTCTTTCACCCCCCTGGATAACAATCAAGTTTGACTGTACTTCAAACCAGACCTTCAAGTATGGGACAGACACATCGTCATGGAGAAACCTTTTTCTCCTCTTGAAAAGCAGTTTTTTTTTCACACGTGGATTAAGAGAATGTAAATGTCTAGCCAAAAAATTATTCGTACAAAAATTAATTGTTTATGTTTACGTTTTCCTAACTTCAATGAAAATTTTCTAAAAAAAATGAACAATTGTTATACACAAAGTGAATATGATTTTCATGAACTGTATGTGTGGGAACGAAAGATGTAATACATTTTCAATAAATATTGAAAACCTATCCATTTTTTATTTCGTTCAATTTTACACTATTTGAACCTTAATAACCATGGGGGAGGTGAGTAAAAATATGTTATATTCGTAATGAGTATAGACATTATATGTGAAACCCGCCTTACACAATTTCTTGACAGGAGTACGTGTAAATCGTACAAGAAATAACAATTGGTTATTTTGTTGGTAAAATCTAAAAATATATTGTAAAAGGTCAACCCTAAGTGAATATCAGCCCGAGGTGAGGGTGTTTCTGAGTCTCACAAACGGGTATTTTGTGGTTTACTCTCTTGCGGTGCCTTGACGTCATTTACCCATGTCTATGAATAACCTATCATACATTACATTAACTAAATAGTTAATGTAATGTATGATAGTGGATAATGTACAAAGTTAGTGGTTTACCTTTTATGATATTATTTGTGTTGAAAACAACCTTGAACATGATAGTTGTTCAGTAATTCGTTTGTAATACACCATATCCTAAAAGTGAGAACAAAACACAAATTATAACCGACAAATAGATTCTGTACTTGTTTCGAAAAACTTCTACACTTTTTTAGTCGAGCTGGCAAACGAGGATGGCCTATTCATAGATAACTTAAAATGAAAAGTATAATTCGTATTTACATAGATTACAAGCTATAAATTTCGTGGGAGTCTCCAGAAAGAAACGTTAAGATAAAGTGTGTAGATGTAAAAATACTCTTGAGCTAATTTGGAAACTTTAAACTTCAGACGTTGATGTATAGATTAACAAATGACTTTACAAAACAGATCTGTTTTCCAGCAAACTTTTGACAATCACTTTTTATTAATTCCAAGTCATATGATTTAGACTACTAAAAAGCTTTAAGCTTTGGTCTTCCTAAAGCAGGTGGCTAATTGTTACTGATAACGCGGACTTAGAACCTAAGGGGATTCAGTTTCATTGCGCAAGTCTTGTACAGTTTATTTATTTCCCGCGGTCAGTGGAGAGAGAAAGGCCCACAGCTTGTTTGTGAGTTTACCTAACGACATCAACATTTCCACCGATGTCCCTCTGATCATCTCCCGCCTACGTTCAAGTGATGTTGCTGATTCTCATCCTTACCTTCCGGTACGTCGACGCTGGTGAGTACAGCTTCCTTTCATCAGATGTTCGCACTGTAGCACGTCGTATCTGCTTTACAGAAGTAATTCATGCCAATCTATTTGTGATTTCCTCTGTTTATCTAATCAGAAAAGAAATAGAGATGTTTTTGAAAAACTGTGAGGATTGTAGCATTGGTATACAGTACAAGGGGGACCAAGCCTCTTTATAGTTTATTTCCATTGTAAAAGCAATGTAAAGGGAACTCACGTTTTATTTACAACTAAATTTGACTATTTTTCACTGTTTAACTAAAGTTTGCTAAAAATTGCCTCAGTACTTCGGGGATTAAGTGTTAGTAGGAGAGAGCCAAGTAAAAACTATTTTCACCTATATCGAGTAATCTTCAGTGTAATCTTTGCTCAAGAGATGTTTTCCCTTTGTGTTGTATTTTGTAATTTTATTTTGTAGTTATAAACACATGTTAAACGTATTTTGGTTACTTTTTCCTTGTAATTTTGTTCAACCATCATAGTTACTTGGCAACCCGTAAGTCAATGGCAATGGCAATAAAAGATTTTGACTTTCAACTTTTTTACTTAATTGGATTTTATGTCAGCATTTAAAACTGCATTAAACACTTTTTAAGATCAGATCAGCGTCGGTCAGAAATAAATTATTGACAACATTTTAAGAAATCATCGAAGTCATTTTCGATATCTTTGTGCAAGCAAGCAAGTTTACAAGCAAACATTGCTCATATAAGAGTAGGCCTATAGGAGTAGGATAGTGTTCCTGTGTATTTTAGTATTTGCGCTTATTGGTTAGCTAAAAAACAGCTGATTGTTTTAGCCAACAAACAATAATATGGAGGTAACCCAAACGGCCAGAGATATTATTTTATACACTATATCTTAATACCAGTTATCCCTTACTTATAAACCCATTTTACGTAATTCATTTTAGTTAGAATTGTATAATAATAAATACTCATTATTATACACTTTTGGTTTTGAGGTCTTTCAGAGGCCAAACATGCCCGTTCAAATTCATACATATCCGCACAGACAAGCTTATCCAAGTCATTTTGTATATTTCCAAAACAAATAGCTTATTCAAGTATTATGCTTTTAATAGTTAAGAAATTAAGTAAAACTGTAAATTAAAAATATTTTGATCTAATTTGAGAAAAATATTTATTTTATACTAAGCTATTAACATTTTACAAAAGAAAAACACATTTTATCGCCTTCCCTGTAGCAGTAAACCTAAGTACTAGGTAAACAAATGCCATTCAAATAAGTAATAAATATGTCTTTTTTGTGGAGATATTTTTTTGAAAATCAGGCGAATCGCACATAGTATGCAGGCTTGCTAAGGCGGTGATATTTTAATCTAATACAGTACATATTTTAGTTATTAGTAGTAGGTCCAGAATACCTTAATATATTTCTCTACAAAGTGAATAACTTTTCTGTGCCAACCAGCGACCACAGAATTAAAAGGTGCCAACATACAATTCTTAAAATACAATTCTCATACATGTTAATAGTCTACAATCATAAATTGTAAATTGTACAAGGTTTGTAAAAATAAAACAATCCATCCCTCTTTGATCAAGTCAATCACGAATTTCGTTTGGAATAAAATCTTTTCATCACTCCTTACCGAAAGTAACTATTTTCGATAACACCTGATATGAAAGAAAGTAGTTGTTTCCCAAGCTCTATTAGAGCTAGGGAAAAACGATCAGCCGATTCTTTCCTAGATTAGTTCTCCATTTATCCACTATGCGCGGTAGTGTTTTGTCGTTGGTTTTTGTTGGTTTGTTTTAATGATTAAATCAGCTGATTTTATTGTTGCACAATCTAAATGTACACAGAAACAGGCATTAGTTTGTTTTGCTATGTTTTTATTAGCACAGTGTATGTTTGAAATTACTCAAAGTATATTAACATTACTGATGATTTGATGAAAACAGCTTCAGAGGTAACTAATCACCTAACAAACTAAATAACGAGAAAGATAAGAAAAGGAGTACAGAAAGTTTAGAGACTGGTAAAAATTACAAAATGTTAAGTCAAGTCAAGTAAGTGACGAAGTATTATACTTATCTAAAAATCTACAACTATGAAACCATGTACGTTGTGAAGTATATTTTCAATGATAAAGAGTGGTCTAAAACTATTTTAATACTACTGAGATATGTTATTCTGTATGTGTGTATTTTTGTGTCGTGATGAAAATTATCGTTCATAACTCGTACTGAAAGCTATTTTCCGACACTTTCTGCATTACTCCCGTCCTCGGCTTCGCCTCGTACGTGAAAATAACGCTCACATGCTCGGCTTTGCCTCGCACGAGAAATTTGGTTCTCCTGTGTTCGGCTTTGCCTCACATACGAAACTTGAGCGCGCGTCGGAAATGCCACTTTCGGTCCTAGTAATGAAATGGTATACTATTATTGGTCTACTTGTCAAACAACGACAGCTTAAACAGGTTTACACGTACCATATTATCATGAGTTTTTAAGGTGGCTTATTTTCAGTTTACAGTATAGTTGTTTGAAGATGCATACGACATACTAAACCTACTATGAAAATGTTTATTAAAATATGCTTTTAAGGCAATATTTGTTTCTGTCAGGTTTAAAACTCCACCACTTATTTGATGTGGTGTATGAAATCGCTTGGATTATCTCAAGACACATTAGTAAACAACATTAGTGCATCCTCTTTAATGACAATAACAATCCCACTCTACTACGATTTAAACATTGGTGGATAGGTGGATTTACTGGTGTTTAAATCTATGTTGTGGAAATTAACATCACAATTATAGCTTTGTAATAAAGTATTATCTGTTAAACTTTGCAATATCAAAAGTTTAAAGACAGGAAATATTACTGACTAAAACCATTGCCTTATGGATACCGAATAGTCATCCATTTTATCCCTTACTTTATGATTATTTGTTGGTTTATGAGGCGTATAAGCTGCTACTGTATTTTCAGTTAATCTTGGTTAAATCAACAGAAATGATTAATTGATATTAACCAGCTCTCTTTGTTAGTAACCTTATTAAACGTTGTACGTCCATGTCCATCCTCATACTGGCTACAATTTATCACGAATACTAGAACAGGCCCAGTATCAATTATCAATTTTTTAATATGGCGACGCCACTATGTCCGTATTTTAATGTAACCCAAATATGAGTGAAGGATGAGTGTAGGATGAGTGGTGCGATCTTGTAGTCTTAATAGTGACTAAGGCCAACATATTCCCTAGACACAGCTTTTAATACAATGCCCATACAATGGCATCTAAGGGACATACCGCTTATATTGGAATCCGAACCACATATTTGCCTTGGTATTAACGAATTGGTCTGATTAGGATAGTTTGGGATAGTCGTAGTACTCACTAGTGTGGATGTTAATCCACACCAGGAAGTATCGCATCCATAATGAAGGTTAAAACTTAAAAGATCTTCTTCTTTGACACTTTCCCTTTGTATCTTGTGGAGCAAAAGCATGAAATAATTAGTTGACACGATTGGACATCAGGCGATAATTCTGTATGAGGTAATTTTATGTTGTCAGTCAAATATTTATTTAATTCTCTTATATGTGTTTTCAACAGTTAAACAACTGTTAAAATTACATACTGCAATTTGTAAATTATACAGTGTGTAAATTAAGTCTTGAAACAAATCTCAATTTTTTTTAACCGAAATAGATAGAAATATTCTGTTTGGGGCGTTAACAAACTTTCTGCAATTTTATACATCAAAAATATTTTCACACCCCTAACAGGGTGACTTATTTTTTTCAAATAGCAACCGCTATTGAGTGACCCCTCATTTTGAAGGATTTGTCAAAAGAACCACAATGACGCAAATCCGAGGTGAATATCTCACCCCTAGAAATGGTGGGTATTCCAAAATGGGTGCTTTTTCACATACCTAAATCAAATGTTGGAATACCCACTATTTAGGCTAGGGATGAAATAACTACCTCGAGTTTGCGTCATTGTTTTTCTGTTGCCAAACCCTTCAAAATGAGGGGTCACTCAATAGGGGTTGTTATTAAAAGAAATAACCACCCACTACCCTGTTAAAGTGGTTTAAGAATATTGTTGATATAAAACATTGCGGAACCTATATCAACAATCAATTCCACAAATAGAATATTTCTATCTATTTCGGTTTTAAAAATACAGATTTGTTTCCATATTTGTGAAATTGGTGCTTTTTCACATACAGTAAATCAAATTTTGGGATACCTGCCATTTTGCCTAGGGATGAGATATCCACCTCGGTTTTGCGTCATTGTGTTTCTTTTGACAAATCCTTCAACATAAGGTGTCACTCAATAGGGGTTGCTATTTGAAAAAAATGAGTCACCCCCTACCCCCTACCCTGTTAGCGTTGTAAACAAATATGTTTGATGTAAAAAATTACGGAAGCTTTGTTAACAATCAACGCCACAAACAGAATATTTCTATCTATTTCGGTTTAAAAAATACAAATTTGTTTCAAGACTTAATTTACACGCTGTATAAAAATTTACTGATATCAAAGAGTATTCAATATTATGTTTATGGTAGAATGCTTGTTTCAGGAACCCCTCATGCAGTTTACGGAGTGCCAACGATTGGGACAAACTTGGGATTCTCTCCTCAACAAAGTAACCCCACTTATACATCCGTAAAGCAATGGGGCTCCAACTTCTACGTTCAACAATACCATCGATCGCCAGAGAAAAACTACCAATATCCGCATTCCCTGACGAAAACTGAATATTGGGGCGGAACACCCGGCTCCAGAACTGTAGCCGCTGATCATACAAAGCTAACACCTGCAGCAACGAAATACCGTCCTTTGGAAGCCTTTCCGGGATCAGGAAGTGCTCAGTTTTACAACAATTTTCAAGCTGCACCAGTCGAAACACACCTCGGTAACTTGGATTACTACAGGGCTGACTCATTCAACAGATATAATGAGTTTTTTAAAAGATACTACGACTGGTATTATAGAAACGCGTTTAGAGATGGGTCAATTGTGAATGGTTCTCCGAAAGGACCTTACCCTCCCGCAATCCCTCAGGGTCCGTATCCTGGTCCTCCTCTCCAGGGACCCGCATCACCTTCTGGAGGACAGACCCCACAAAGTCCTACAGGAGCGCCATGGTGGCTTAACGGAGGATTTGCAGGATCTCCTCCTGGGCCCAGTTTACCCAGTGCATCGTCTGGAGGTCCTGTTGGACCATTTGTAGCCCCGGCGATACCCCCTCAAGGATCGCTGCCTAAGAAAGCCCCACTTACAGGAAAAGGTAGAAATCTAGGGTACTTACGTATTATACGGAGGCCACTTATTTTACAGCGCGCTGCGGCGGTTGGGTTAAGTTGGGTTATCATAAATATGTTTGTAGAACTTTCCTAGTTTCGTTATGAATCGAACTATACGAGATGAGTCATAAAAACTTATGATAACCCAACCTAACCTAACCGCCGCAGCGCGCTGTAAAATAAGTGGCCTCCGTATAATACGTAAGTACCAAATCTAGATATAAATTAACTTAAAATAAAATCAGTTTATAATTTGTTTAAAAAACTTAAGCAAATTATAAAAACGTTTGCAAACAGGGCTAGGCCTTTGTCTTATGTTTGGTTAGTTGAGTATACGAGAAGTCCCACAAGAGGCGCTTTAAAGATGAAATGGACTTATTCGATACCGAAAATGTAATAATCATTGCATTTTGAGCTTAAAAGTTATTAGCTGGTTTAATTTTTATGACTATGTATTTTAGCCTAAAAATGTATTATTCTTTGTTGTTTGGGTGTTGTTAAATAGTCTTGGTATTTGATATTACATCAATTTGACTCATGAAAATTAATACATTGTTATGTGTCAGTTTTCTGGAATCAAATGTTTTACGTAATTTCTTAAAGGTATTAATTATTGTTGTGTAAACCAGCTTGGTCACTCCTAATTTCATTGAATATAGTTGAGTTTCCTTTATAAGACTTATAAAGGACTTGACTTAGTCAAGATTCTAGAAAACTTTCTTTCGATCTTTCCAATATTCTTATTCTGAGGATGTCCCCTTTCTTTAGTCATTGGTTTGATAATTTAGAAAAGTTTGTCAGGATTAACCTCTAAGGGATCAACGTAATCGGTCTACAGGGGTTAACAGGGATTAACATAGCCGGTTAACAGATCACATAAGCCTTTTTTACAAAGATTCAGAGTTGCATATATATAAGATATACACATATTAGAAAATTTATTGGATTAGAGTTTTAAGCATCCTAAATATGATAAGTCTGTTCGGCTAATCGTCCAACGGACTTAAGTTGTGATTTATACACAAGATCTTTAATGTCTACTTCATTCGTGTTCTTCCGCAAATATCGTGACTTATTAACAACCATTTGATGTCACTTAGTTAGTCCATTAATTGTTTAGTTAGTCCGTTTAAAGTATATCAACATTAATATTAATAATAAATAAAAAAAAGCTTGTTCTAGGATGTTATAAGCTTTTAAAATAAGTACCATAACTTTAGGAAACATCTTTAGTTTGATTTGTTTATTTCAATTGCAAATTAACACAAATTACTTTGTAGCGCCAGGAACGGACTCCATTTCCAACCGAATTAATGAAGATTCAACCTACGAATCTTCAAAACCTGATGCAGAGAGTTCTTCAGAAAAAATGTCGTCTTCTGAGGGAACCACTACGGCCTCTGTTGAGGCAGATTCCAAAGACAAGGATTCGACATCAGATTCAGTTACCACTCCTGAAACTCCTGCTTCTCAAGAAAATCAGCCCTCTACGGAGGAGATTACATCCCCTTCTTCGGAGGAGAGTTCATCCCCGTCTTCGGAAGAGAGTTCATCGTCGTCCTCTGAAGAAAGTTCATCGGCAGCTACGGATGATGGTGCTTCACCAGCTACAGAATCCTCCTCTTCAGAGGAAACGTCATCACCTTCTTCAGAAGAGAGCTCAGATGCAAAATCACCTTCTGCAGAGGAATCATCATCGCCATCGTCGGAAACATCTTCACCTTCATCCTCAGAGGAAGGTTCGTCTTCAACATCCTCAGAAGAATCGTCATCGTCATCTTCGGAAGCTTCACCATCTTCTACAGAAGAGATGTCATCCTCTACTGGAGAAAGCACTTCTTCTGAGGACTCTTCTCCATCGGAAGACAGTTCATCCACAGCTGTCACAACAACAGAAGCTAGCGGGAATACTGAGTCCAACACAATAGAAAGTGGAAGTTAACGTGAAACTAAACTGTATAAAGAGTTGCAAATGAAATCTATTTTTAAACATGATATTTCGTAAAGGTACATAGTTAGAAAATTTAGCTTCAGAACGAAAGTAATACTTATATACTTATACGAAGGAATAATTAATCATTTACTGTAGGGGACACCATTTTAAATTTGGAAATTTTGCTTCTCTTTTTTAAATTTCAATAATACTGAAACATTTAAAGATTTATCTCTTTTAATGTTCACAAAAATGTCGTAGTAAGGTTTACTGTATTTGTTTTATTACAAAACACTCATTTATTGCAACCCGTAAATACGAATAATGTAAGTAATGTAGTATTGTATAAAGTCTTTCAATAGCTTTAAATATTTAGCTTAAACATAATTTAGGCTAATGTTTACAAATAATCCTATGTTAAATAAATACTTGCGTTTACGCTGTTTTTATTTGCCCATTTCTATATCAACATTTATCCATTTTAATTTAGACTCGAATGCAACTGATAAAAATACAATGTTCATTTATCTAATACTGAGGATGCCTAACTGATAAATAAACCCCCTATTATATATTTCAATCTTTTTTACTTCAATTTGATAAATTAAGTAAGGAATAAAGCAAATTTTAACAGATTTAAAAAGCTTAAACTGAACGACATACGGTTATAAAATAGTAACCTGTTATGAATGAAAAAATGCGGCCCTCAAATTAAATGTTTGTGCGTAATGCTGTGATGGTTGTGAGGTTTCACCAAATTGAAAGATATCTCCATTATTGATGCACAGTTTAGACTATATTACTGTTCACAGTAAATTTAGGTTTAGATCAGGACTACCACACTCTGAATGGGTTCAGATCAGGTGTTAATGGTTTTTTTATAAGTAATTAATATCATAATATGCTTAGATAATGATTCTATGGTTCTAATATGAGTGAGGTTTGCGTACACAGTGATTGAAGAAAATGCACCAACAATTTCCTCTAAAATAACGATTCCTCAAATAGTTTTCGTTAAGAACCTAAACTGTAGTTTTAATATTAAAACATTAAAATTATGGGTTTCCATATAAGAACTAATTACATTTAATAACTAACCAGCAAGAAAATGCAAGCAAAAGATTCACAGCTTATAAAACAAGTCATATACAGTGTGTTGAAAAAGTCTTAAAACACTCAAAAATAATTTAAACGACTTCTTAAATTCTTTAAAAATAGTTTTTTCCCATTCGTCAATCTGGTTTTTAAAGGATTTAGACCACCGTTATTTACAGGCTGGTCTAAAAAATGACACCAAACGTTTTTTTTTTTAACAAGACCTTTAAAATGAGGGGTCACAACATGGGTATCTGCATTTGAAAATTTGGAGTTGCAAAGAATTTTCCCTAAGGGGGATGGGGCCAGATTTGTATTTCTTTTAAAAGCTAGAAAAGTCATCACATAATACAAATGTTGAATTTCCAAAATGTTATCTTAAGCCGTTTAGAATTATACAGGATGCCTGGTCATCATTGTTACAAACATTTGGTGGTGTAAGTTCGAAGTAAATGAAGTGTGATGATGCATATAAGAGGTTTCAAGTGTAAAAATTGGCTTTCCAAAGAATTATTTTTATATGTTCTAAAATAACCATGTTTTTAAACACAATACAGCAATTCCTCAATTACCTGCAAACGGATTTAAGTAGATGGTCACTTTTTTCGTGTTCTACATTAAATTTTGAATACAAATCATTGAAAATGTTGAAATGTTGATGAGGATCAAAAATAAAAACTACAATGTTAATAGTATCAAAGATTAAAATTTTGGTCTTTTATTACGTTTGCCCCGCCACAGCAAACCTACCAACTAAGCAAATTTCCATTTGTCTGAATTGATTTTCAATTAAATCAATTTAAATAAAGGTTTAAAGAGTACCTAGGTTTGATACTAAAATGAAACTAATAAAATTTGGGTTTTAGTAAAATATTGATAGCTTAGTATATTTCGTACCTAGGGCCGAAAATGAGGGTTTTCCGGCTCTAGATAGTTCTTAAACGATCGAGAGCTGCAAAACCATTTCGGTCCGTGGAACGAACGCTATTTTTCAACACACTATACCCTATTACCACTATGCATTACAATTATAATGCACAATGATAGTCAACACAACTACAACTTAAGGGTTATGTAAAGATATAATTTGAGGAATCAAAGAAAAAAATAGTTGCTAGGCAACGGTGACAATAAAACAATTCTATTGCAATGCTACGGATACTGATTGTGTATTTAATATGCATTCATGTTTTAATAAAACAGCTGATTTTGCGGCCCTAGGGATGCAAAAAAATGCTCGGTCCCCAAATTACGATGACAGCTGGCATGGCCAGCAAAACGTAACTTTCCACCAACGTTACGTAACGTTGCCACCAATTAACGTATGTAAAACAGCTAAAAACATTATAAAAATAAATAAATTTGTCAATTTTCATCAAAATATATCCATAAACAAAGAAACGAGCAAACAACATTTTACAATGTTCTCCATTAGAATAACATGGGAATTTTAAATTTAAAATTTTTTGAATTTTCTCCATTACCAATAACCGTACAAGAACACTTTTATATACTAAATTATTTATTTTTTTAAGCTCTTTAAAATGGTCTAAAGAAATAAGGAAATTTTGAGGGTCAAAAATGAGAAAAACTAATTTTCACCCCATAAAACTCCTTTCCTATGGTCCGATCATGCTGGTACATATATATCAATGTATTAAAATTTTAACGAATTGTGTTTTTGGCCTCTGGGGACATCGAAATGAAAAAGCAAATCGGTACCAGGCCTACGTCATACCATACCACCTACGGTAATAGCTACTTCCCTAAAAAATATTGGTCTATTGCCTTTGTATACAGCCTGTATAGATGAAGGTAGCAAAATATTTTGAAAACTGCGCCTTTTTATAAGCTTTACAACAATATGCTACACTATTGAGGTTTACATATGTTTATGTTCTCTTTGGTGGTTTTAAGACTACAAAACACGGGGGTTTTAACATTTTTAACATAGATAGCTAACATTCAGACATGGAACCTCTTATATGCACCATCACACTTCATTTAATTCGTAATTACGACAAAAAATTCTTTGTATCACTGATGACTAGACACTATATGTGCATTATCTTTGGGCATGTTACGACTTTTTCAACTCACTCTATACTAGCACAATGTAGTAAAAATTAAAAAGCCAATCGAATGAATACTATTGAGCAAATCCTACACAAAAGGTATATTACTGAGTTTTAAAGTACCGGTAAATAGCCCATCAGTATCAACAAGTACAGAGGTTTTTACTTATTTCTTTCAAGCAAAGCTTATGCATAATCTCCAAGTCCCATGTTTATTTCTTCCATGATTCTTTCCAAAAACGTCTGTGAGATCTCTTTGTACATTATTTTATACATATTTCATCATACATTTCCATGCAGTAGGTAGATCTAATAAAGCACTGAGTATTACGTTTATTTAGTCAAGTATAGGTTTGCAATATAATAATGGAAGTTAAATACTTTTCCTAAAAAGTTAATTTTACTAACAGTTAAAAACCATAACCATGGGCAGCCATGTTGGTTACAAAAATGGCGATACAATCTTGTGAAGAATCGTAGCTTCTTATGTAAACAATTAATTGTAGCTTTTGAATAATTTTTGGATAAATAATTGAATAGCTTATGTATATGGTTACCAATGTATGTAATGGGTAAATGATGATTATTCCTGAGCAGAGCTCAGTATATTTTTTATTTTAGTACAAATATCAAAGTCAGGTTTACTTTTAATCAAAGTAGAATCAGGATAGGTAATGTTTTATTTGGGCGTTCCATTGACTTCGACTATAGGCATATACGGAAAGTAAATAAAAGATACGTCTTTTAACATTTAAAACATATATTCACGCTTATACTGTTGCTCACAAGATGGTAAATATACAAACAAGATGGTAAGTGGTTTGTATATTGTTGTTGTATATTGTTAAGTATTATAAGACGTATCTTTTATTTGCTTTCCGGAAATTTAATAAATACTAACTTGTACATTTGTAAATAATTGTAAATATGGTTCCGACGTTTCCTGGCCTCCCCGTGGCGGAACTGGATATGCCATAAATTGTATGGCTAACCGACAGGGAAACAAACATTACTTGATCTATTTTCATAAATATATACATGAATATCTACTATAATCTATTTAATTCATATGATACTTTACTATTATCAACTTATTCACTTATCAATCGACATACTAATCAATCTACTCATCTTATACAACAGTTCTCTAATTTGTACATTTGTAAGTAATTGTAAATATGGTTCCAACGTTTCCTGGCCTCCTCGTGGCGGAACTGGATATGCCATACAGTTTGTGGCTAACTGACAGGGAAACAAACATTACTTAATCTATTTTCATAAATATATACGTCATGAATATCTACTATAATCTATTTTCTATTTACATCATATATACATGAATATCTAATATAATCTATTCACATCATATAATACTTTACTATTATCAACTTATTAACCTATCAATGAACATCAATATAAATTTACTTATCTTGTACAAAAGTTTACTAACTTGTACATATTCAAATAATTGCAAATATGGTTCCGACGTTTCCTGGCCTCCTCGTGGCGGAACTGGATATGCCATAAAGTTTATGGCTAACCGACAGGGAAACAAACCTTACTTAATCTATTTTCGTAATTATATACTTGAATATCTACTATAATCTATTTACTTCATATAATACTTTACTATTATCAACTTATTAACTTATCAATCTCCTCTAATAAATTCATGAAATCGTTATTACTTTAATGTCGATTTTTACTATAACGAACCCTTCTCTCCTCATATTATTACTTCCTTTGACCAAAAACTCAATTGTAAAAATACTTGACTAACATACTCACTTACCGCAACTTAAAAAATGATTTTTTTATGAGGTGTTCCTTAAGCTAGAAGTTATCTTACTCAAAGTTAACTTATATAACTTAATATTGACGGTTTCACTTCTTGCTTTGTTACAACTTAACTCTAATCTACTAATGACGACTAACAGCTAGGGGGCCTGGGGGCGGAGCCCCCAGCGAGCCAAAGGCGAGTATTGTTAAGTATTATAAGACGTATCTTTTATTTGCTTTCCGGAAATTTAATAACACGTACGATGCTGATCAATAAGTTATTTATAGGCATATCTAATTTATTTCCTCCGATAATGTTTTAAACTCATAAAAGTCCAACCCAAATTAATGTTAACATAATGTTCACAAAAGCTAGAATTTTAATGCTTAGGCTTGATCTTTCAGTAGTTGTTTACAACCCTTTTAGAACATGTTTTATACAATCCACGTCATTTTTTTTTTTAATTTGTTACTAACTTCTTCATAATTTAAAGAGTTTCATTAAGTTCATTGATTTTTATTAGTATGTTGACATTTTCTTTTAAATTAAATTATAAACATAAAAATATCATAATACTATTTTATTGAATGTCAAAAATTTATATTTTATGTAGAGGGTGATATGGTGTTATTGCATTTAACTTGCTAGTAACAAAATTCCCAAGCAGATCATAAAATTACCACTCACATATTGTTAACTTTTAATAACTTTTTTGGCGACATGGTAAAGGCTAAAGAATTTCTATTTGTCAGAAGTATTCACGTAATAACATTAGTAAAAGACTGATTACAAAAAAATGTATGTACAAATGCCAATGCACTTTTGTGAAATCGTTTAGTAATATCATACTATCTGCGTCCTTTACATTTAAGACTGTGCCAACCCAAGACTGTTGTTTTTTAGCGAATTTCCCTATAGGGAAGTAGCTATTACCGTAGGTCTCATGGTAAGACTTAGGTCCGGGACCGATTTACTTTTTCATTTTGATGTCCCCAGAGGCCAAAAACACCATTCGTTCAAATTTTTATATATGTATATATATATATATATATATCGATTTATATATATGTGTGTCCGTGAACACGATAACTTGAGTAATTTTTATCCGATTTTGATGAAATTTGGTTTGAAGGTGTAAGGCGGGATAAACTTGAATGAGTTCACGATCCAGCATGATCGGACCATGGGAACAGGGTTTTCTGGGGTAAAAATTGGTTTTTCTCACTTTTGACCCTAAAAACACAAAATTTCCCAATTTTTCACTAAACCTTCTTAAAGAGCTTAAAAAAAAACAATTCAGTATATCAAAGTGTTTTTGTACGGTTATTGGTTTCGGAGAAAACTAAAAAAATTGTAAATTTAAAATTCCCATGTTATTCTTATGGAGAATATTGTAAAATGTTGTAGTTTGCTTGTTTATGGATATCTTTTGATCAAACTTGGCAAATATATTCATTTTATACTAAGCAATAATTATTTTACTTAAAACACACACTTTATTAGTATCATGTACTGTAGCAGCAAACCTAGGTACTCGTTAAACCTAATGTTATTTAAATAGATCGATTGAAAATCAATTCAGCCAAATGGAAATTTGCTTAGATGGCAGGTTTGCTGCGGCGGGGGTATACTGTATAATCCTGATTCAAAATAGTGTTAACCCTTTAACTAGAGGTTGAATAAATTTTTCACGTTGGTAACCATGCGTATCTATTAAGAAGGTTTCAATGTGTATGATCTAGAATTGCTTGTGAACACTAAAGTTCAACGATCTCTGTAGATGTGACAATTCTCGCGTCCCTTTCATTCATCTATTAGTTACGAGTAAACAATATTAATAGCCAAAGTGAAAATTGATACATTAAGGAAAAAAGTCGAAATCACTACAAGTGGCTTTTAAACGACTCTAGATTTGATTATGTGTTAGTGGACTAGGAGGGTGTATAAATAGCACGATGATCAGTTAATGAGGTAAGGTTCGCAACATGGGGTTGGCGTCTGCTCACACCCTGCGTCTGAAGGCGGCGGCTTTCTTCCTTCTGTTAACCTTCCAATCAGGTAAGTCGTAGTTATAAATATTTTTAAAGGTAGTTACGTAGTGTTAAGTTTTCAAAATATGTCCTCACCATCTTATTAAAAGTGTACCTTTGTTACTATTTAAAGAAGGATCAACTTAAATAAGTTGAACTAATTAACTAATCTTAATCTAATTGCTAAATATCAGTAGCAAGTTTTGGAGTAAAAATAAATGTTTTTTATTGGGCTACCCACAGAGTGCACCAATTTAGTAGTCATTTGTTTTAAAATTCAACCCAAACTGAAATGAAAACTTGTTAAATTTCATCTTTTGTCACATCAACTAGTCCCAAAAGTAGGGGAGGATTAAAATTTTGACAGAAACTCTGTGAGAGGCGCATTCGACTACATTCTTCTGTACTTGATTCAACTAATTACAACCGGTCCATTGAGATGAGATGTCTATTTTAAATCCTAAATCTACTCTTATACACTAAGGCATTATCATTGAATGGTAAAAGTAGATATCACCCTATTGTAATTCTAAGCTTTTTTAAAGTTTAACTTGAACTTTATTACACTTGTCTCAATAAGCTAATGTATTTAATGTTTAATTGGATGGACTAGTTTTACAATTGGAAGAATAAAAAAAATAGTAAACTAAACACTTTCAATTTGTTTCGATCTAAATATAATGCGATTTAATTCCTATTTATAAAACTTGTTGCACACGAGGACTTTTAGTGCGTTCTCATAATATTCTGAACATATGCAATGTATTTTGAATCCATGCAACATCTTTTCCTTCCTAGAGAAAAAAAATATTTATTAAATCAACCGTATGCACATAAAACAAAAACCTTTAAGGGGCAAATTTTCTCATTGTGTACTTCATTGAGATTGTTAGAAAATGTAATTTTCTCTTGTTGTATTACTTTAGAAGCCAAGAGCACAGACAATATAATACTTGTCTGTGCCAAGAGGTTTACAGTGCTCTAACTTAATTTAACAAATACTTTGTTTTCACTCTTAACTAGTCAAATTCAAATAGCGTGTGAAAGTTGTTTGAAATAATTTTCGGACTCGATAAACACAAAACAACCATAATAAAATAGTTAAAATAGTTTAAATTAGTAATTTATTTTAGCTAAAGTGGGATTTTATAATCTGTGGATAAATGTATTTTTGTTCTTCGGAGGTATGTTAGGGGAGTTCAAAAGCACTTTTTTCACAATTTTCCCACAGTTTTTCCTATCTCCTGCCAAAGTTCCTAAAAACAAACCACTTATTTTAGTTGTTTTTTTTTTTAATTTAGATAATGTACATCATTACGGAATCCAAATTATCACACTAGCATGCGAGTAAGAATAACTCTGGTGAAAGCGTTATATTGCTAACTATTTGTCGTGCGCAAAATAGGTTTTCGCGAAATTTATTGCAATTGAAAACGCAGCAAATATTTCTGCCTAACCGAAACGTGTATCCTGGTTCCGAAGATAACTAGAATGAGTGTAAGAATAAACTGGGTGGTCCTAATGGTTTCCTTCTAGCCATCAGTCTTTTTACTGATTCATCAACACAACAAACATTTAGCAGATTTTCTAACGACTTGTATAAATCGTTCTATTACGACACAACTTTATGGATCCTATGCAATCCATCAAATTAAATCAGGGTGCTTTTAATGGAAGTATTTGTACAATACCGATTTCCACTCACCGCGGAATCAGACGTGTTAGTTCTTTGTAAATACGTAGTTAGACCACCGAGGCACCTTTGGTCATATTAACAAGATTCGGATTCCAGGTTTCGGGATTAAAATTCCAGATTCTTATAAAAAATGTTGATGAATTATTTTGTAACCTTCACTATTGCAAGTTAACAGTATACTTTATCAAAGTTTTTAATATTTCCTAAGCTGTTTCTCTAAACTACATGTTTTTTTATCTTGTTAGTTTCGAGGGGTATGGAAATAATTTACTAAACAAAGCTTACCGGGTTCTGCTCATTTCAACATGGAGAGTCCTAAGTTATTGGTATTGTTAACATTTTTGTATTTGTTGAGTACAGTAATACATAAAAAATAAGTTCATTAGACTTAACTAGTTAAGTCATAGACTAACCAATATAAGTATTTTTAATCTGTAATTCGGTGTAAACGAAGATTTTAAACAACTAAAAGTAAATAGATCCCATTAACATTACCATCAACACACCCTTCAGTATTTTCCAATTACTATACTGTAGTTTAAATTCCCAGGAATTAGCACTTGAAAATATCCCTCTTCAACACCAATAAAAAATTCCATAATATGAAGTACTATTGTGCTTATAACATCATCTTATCGAAACTAATCTTTTAGGTTGAATGCTTACCAAAAGGTCACTTACGATTCAGTTTTAAACTTTTTTGAGAAATTAGTCTTGAAACTAATATTTATACTGAGGGTAGGATTAAAGTAAAATTTTTTGGTAATTTATTAGTTAAATGCAGACGAGTGCATTTGTTTTGTTAAGACCACCCTTGTTAACACCACCTAAAATAAACGTAGCCAACATTTTATCAGTTGCCAATAAATATTTTGTTAACCCGTAAATAATATTCAATTGAAATAAATAACATATTATCTCATTTTTAATATGTTTCGCATAAGATTGAATACCGCACTTAGCCGTGTCTTCAGTATTAGTGTGAAACAATACATACTAGATTTACCTTTAATATTACTTGAAATACCTTAAATAATTACTATTATTAAAAGTATTTTGGCAAAAGTAAGTGATTAGGTTGCAGTATGAATAATTTGTTATCCTTAATTTTATAGATCCAAAGACCATAATGACCTCCATTAAAAGCCAACCACTTATTACAATAATTTACATGGAAGAACGCATAAAAGAATTACTGTATGAATACGATAAGCTTTTAAATTAAATTATCTCAATCACATTTGTCAACTAGCTGTATTTATATCTAAATAACTATGTTTGTTGTTTTTATTGAAATATTTTATTACACTGGATAGAATAATCAGTACCTATATACAACTATATACAAAAATATTTACATATATACATTTTAGTTACATACAGTTTAGGAGTTTTATCATAAACTAGCTGTTACCCGTCGGCTTTGCCCGACATAATTTGTTGAGTTTTGTTATGAACCGGCTGAAGTTGAGACTTCACTACGAGCTAACATCATCTCATACATTATTTTTTCGTATAGTAACAAGTATTAAATCAATTCAAAATTTTGGCACCTAAGCTAATTAGACATAGGGACCATATTTGAAAGATTAACTGCCTTTCTACCAAGAGCTTCGGACTGCTCCCTTTGGAAAAAAATCATAATGCTTTTTACCAAAATACTGTTCCCGTTCTATCTCTTTTCACTAATACCCTTAAACCAAATTCGCCAATAGTCCAGTTAGTTTTCTGATAACCTTGTTGAACATTGTTAGATAGGCTATCTTAAAGTAGAATCAAGCAACATAAAAATCTTCATTTTTTGACATAATGACCTCTGATATATTTTAAAACATTTCATCTTGATGCTACAAAGATAAATAGATAGAAAAATTGGTATTGAAAGGGGCAAACATTTAAACATGATAAGTATAAGATGTCATGATTTGATCTCTTTCTTGATAAAATCTGTTGAGAATCAGGTGAGTAGCAGGGTTGCTTCAGTTTCACCTTGTATTATTTTTTCTTTAACGAAAACTATCACTATTTTACTTTAGGTTGGCTAGTGGTAACAGTTAGAACTGAAAATAAAGTTATAGAATAGGAAATCTACAATCTTTTTGTGAATTTATGGGTTTTATTAGGTCTAGCTGCTTTACCCGTGCTTTGCAACGCGGAGAACAGCAAAATAAAGAGTTGCTCTCTGTTGTTAAACCTTGTAACTTTAAATGCTATTGATCATTATAGTAACCCAACTAAATGGTTTATTATTTGAAACTGCTGTCAATATTCATAGATTCTTTTAAAATATTAATTCAAATAAGGTAAACATGGGAAATTTCGGAGCCCCTGGGGCAGAGCTACATGTCAGTTCAAAAACAGGAATGGAACAAAAACCTTCCCGGGGGTGTATAGAACAACTCCTCAAAGTTTCATCACGATCGGTTAGCCGGTTTAAAAACGCATAGAGGACAAACAAACGACAAACTACAAACATACATTGGATTTTATGTATACAGATTTAGACAAATTTAAAAAAATATTACGGGTAAATACGTGTAAAATAACATTTGTTTTGTATAATAATACTGTAATTGTGTTTCAGGCTTTGGATATCCGGTTGATAGAACACTTCACACATACTTGGAAGGGATCATAAGAACAGATGATAAATCAAGCAGTTATAATGTAGTGGACAAAATCTCAAAACTTGTTGAAATAGCAACAAGACATAAATCAGGTTGTACATGTCCAGCACACAACATAACGGCTGCTATTTATGAGTTAGAGCGAACTAATACCGACTCAAATGAATCTATTTATAATTTGAATCAGTCATCAACCTCAGGTTTAATATCATCTACTTCTGGGTCTGGATCGGTGAATTCGAATTCAGCTTCGAGTTCAACTGCATCCTTCCCTCATAGTGCGTCACAATCTACGTCTGGGTCTTCTGCATCGTCAATTGCAGCAGCAGCATCCCATTCGAGTCTAGCGTCTACAGTTGACTCCTCAGCATCGTCATTAAGTTCAGCGGCTGCTCAAAGTGCGTCGCAATCAACATCTGGGTCTTCTGCGACGTCAATTGCATCAGCAGCATCTCATTCGAGTCTAGCGTCTACAGCGGACTCCTCAGCATCGTCATTAAGTTCATCAGCTGCTCATAGTGCGTCACAATCAACATCTGGATCATCAGCATTGTCTAGTGCAGGTGCATCATCCCACACAAACCAATTGTCTACTTCCGGTTCGGGTGTGTCATCCTCAAGTTCAGCGGCTGCTCATAGTGCGTCCCAATCTACATCTGGGTCTTCTGCGTCGTCAATTGCAGCAGCAGCATCCCATTCGAGTCAAGCGTCTACAGCGGACTCCTCAGCATCGTCATTAAGTTCATCAGCTGCTCATAGTGCGTCACAATCAACATCTGGATCATCAGCATTGTCTAGTGCAGGTGCATCATCCCACACAAACCAATTGTCTACTTCCGGTTCGGGTGCGTCATCATCAAGTTCAGCGGCTGCTCATAGTGCGTCGCAATCTACATCTGGGTCTTCTGCGTCGTCAATTGCAGCAGCAGCATCCCATTCGAGTCAAGCGTCTACAGCAGACTCCTCAGCATCGTCATTAAGTTCATCAGCTGCTCATAGTGCGTCACAATCGACATCTGGATCATCAGCATTTTCTAGTGCAGGTGCATCATCCCACACAAGCCAATTGTCTTCTTCCGGTTCAGGTGCGTCATACTCAAGTTCGGCGGCTGCTCATGGTGCATCGCAATCTACATCTGGGTCTTCTGCGTCGTCAATTGCAGCAGCAGCATCCCATTCGAGTCAAGCGTCTACAGCGGACTCCTCATCATCATTATTAAGTTCATCAGCTGCTGATAGTGCGTCACAATCAACATCTGGATCATCAGCATCGTCTAGTGCAGGTGCATCATCCCACACAAACCAATTGTCTACTTTCGGTTCGGGTGCGTCATCCTCAAGTTCAGCGGCTGCTCATAGTGCGTCGCAATCTACATCTGGGTCTTCTGCGTCGTCAATTGCAGCAGCAGCATCCCATTCAAGTCAGGCGTCTACAGCGGACTCCTCAGCATCGTCATTAAGTTCATCAGCTGCTCATAGTGCGTCACAATCAACATCTGGGTCTTCTGCGTCGTCAATTGCAGCAGCAGCATCCCATTTGAGCCTAGCGTCTACAGCGGATTCCTCAGCATCGTCATTAAGTTCATCAGCTGCTCATAGTGCGTCACAATCTACATCTGGGTCTTATGCATCGTCAATTGCAGCTGCAGCATCCCATTCAAGTCAAGCGTCTACAGCGGACTCCTTAGCATCGTCATTAAGTTCATCAGCTGCTCATAGTGCGTCACAATCTATGTCTGGGTCTTCTGCATCGTCAATTGCAGCTGCAGCATCCCATTCAAGTCAGGCGTCTACAGCGGACTCCTCAGCATCGTCATTAAGTTCATCAGCTGCTCATAGTGCGTCACAATCAACATCTGGATCATCAGCATTGTCTAGTGCAGGTGCATCATCCCTCACAAACCAATTGTCTACTTCCGGTTCGGATGCGTCATTCTCAAGTTCAGCGGCTTCTCATAGTGCGTCGCAATCAACATCTGGGTCTTCTGCGTCGTCAATTGCAGCAGCAGCATCCCATTCGAGTCAAGCGTCTACAGCGGACTCCTCATCATCATTATTAAGTTCATCAGCTGCTCATAGTGCGTCACAATCAACATCTGGATCATCAGCATCGTCTAGTGCAGGTGCATCATCCCACACAAACCAATTGTCTACTTTCGGTTCGGGTGCGTCATCCTCAAGTTCAGTGGCTGCTCATGGTGCGTCGCAATCTACATCTGGGTCTTCTGCGTCGTCAATTGCAGCAGCAGCATCCCATTCAAGTCAGGCGTCTACAGCGGACTCCTCAGCATCGTCATTAAGTTCATCAGCTGCTCATAGTGCGTCACAATCAACATCTGGATCATCGGCATTGTCTAGTGCAGGTGCATCATCCCACACAAGCCAATTGTCTACTTCCGGTTCGGGTGTGTCATCCTCAAGTTCAGCGGCTGCTCATGGCGCGTCGCAATCTACATCTGGGTCTTCTGCGTCGTCAATTGCAGCAGCAGCATCCCATTCGAGTCTAGCGTCTACAGCGGACTCCTCAGCATCGTCATTAAGTTCATCAGCTGCTCATAGTGCGTCACAATCTACATCTGGGTCTTATGCATCGTCAATTGCAGCTGCAGCATCCCATTCAAGTCAGGCGTCTACAGCGGACTCCTCAGCATCGTCATTAAGTTCATCAGCTGCTCATAGTGCGTCACAATCAACATCTGGATCATCAGAATTGTCTAGTGCAGGTGCATCATCCCACACAAACCAATTGTCTACTTCCGGTTCGGTTGCGTCATCCTCAAGTTCAGCGGCTGCTCAAAGTGCGTCGCAATCAACATCTGGGTCTTCTGCGACGTCAATTGCATCAGCAGCATCTCATTCGAGTCTAGCGTCTACAGCGGACTCCTCAGCATCATCATTAAGTTCATCAGCTGCTCATAGTGCGTCACAATCAACATCTGGATCATCAGCATCGTCTAGTGCAGGTGCATCATCCCACACAAACCAATTGTCTACTTTCGGTTCGGGTGCGTCATCCTCAAGTTCAGCGTTTGCTCATGGTGCGTCGCAATCTACATCTGGGTCTTCTGCGTCGTCAATTGCAGCAGCAGCATCCCATTCAAGTCAGGCGTCTACAACGGACTCCTCAGCATCGTCATTAAGTTCATCAGCTGCTCATATTGCGTCACAAACAACATCTGGATCATCGGCATTGTCTAGTGCAGGTACATCATCCCACACAAGCCAATTGTCTACTTCCGGTTCGGGTGTGTCATCCTCAAGTTCAGCGGCTGCTCATGGCGCGTCGCAATCTACATCTGGGTCTTCTGCGTCGTCAATTGCAGCAGCAGCATCCCATTCGAGTCTAGCGTCTACAGCGGATTCCTCAGCATCGTCATTAAGTTCATCAGCTGCTCATAGTGCGTCACAATCTACATCTGGGTCTTATGCATCGTCAATTGCAGCTGCAGCATCCCATTCAAGTCAAGCGTCTACAGTGGACTCCTTAGCATCGTCATTAAGTTCATCAGCTGCTCATAGTGCGTCACAATCTATGTCTGGGTCTTCTGCATCGTCAATTGCAGCTGCAGCATCCCATTCAAGTCAGGCGTCTACAGCGGACTCCTCAGCATCGTCATTAAGTTCATCAGTTGCTCATAGTGCGTCACAATCAACATCTGGATCATCAGCATTGTCTAGTGCAGGTGCATCATCCCTCACAAACCAATTGTCTACTTCCGGTTCGGGTGGGTCATCCTCAAGTTCAGCGGCTTCTCATAGTGCGTCGCAATCAACATCTGGGTCTTCTGCGTCGTCAATTGAAGCAGCAGCATCCCATTCGAGTCAAGCGTCTACAGCGGACTCCTCATCATCATTATTAAGTTTATCAGCTGCTCATAGTGCGTCACAATCAACATCTGGATCATCAGCATCGTCTAGTGCAGGTGCATCATCCCACACAAACCAATTGTCTACTTTCGGTTCGGGTGCGTCATCCTCAAGTTCAGCGGCTGCTCATGGTGCGTCGCAATCTACATCTGGGTCTTCTGCGTCGTCAATTGCAGAAGCAGCATCCCATTCAAGTCAGGCGTCTACAGCGGACTCCTCAGCATCGTCATTAAGTTCATCAGCTGCTCATAGTGCGTCACAATCTACATCTGGGTCTTATGCATCGTCAATTGCAGCTGCAGCATCCCATTCAAGTCAAGCGTCTACAGTGGACTCCTTAGCATCGTCATTAAGTTCATCAGCTGCTCATAGTGCGTCACAATCTATGTCTGGGTCTTCTGCATCGTCAATTGCAGCTGCAGCATCCCATTCAAGTCAGGCGTCTACAGCGGACTCCTCAGCATCGTCATTAAGTTCATCAGCTGCTCATAGTGCGTCACAATCAACATCTGGATCATCGGCATTGTCTACTGCAGGTGCATCATCCCACACAAGCCAATTGTCTACTTCCGGTTCGGGTGTGTCATCCTCAAGTTCAGCGACTGCTCATGGCGCGTCGCAATCTACATCTTGGTCTTCTGCGTCGTCAATTGCAGCAGCAGCATCCCATTCGAGTCTAGCGTCTACAGCGGATTCCTCAGCATCGTCATTAAGTTCATCAGCTGCTCATAGTGCGTCACAATCTACATCTGGGTCTTATGCATCGTCAATTGCAGCTGCAGCATCCCATTCAAGTCAAGCGTCTACAGCGGACTCCTTAGCATCGTCATTAAGTTCATCAGCTGCTCATAGTGCGTCACAATATGTGTCTGGGTCTTCTGCATCGTCAATTGCAGCTGCAGCATCCCATTCAAGTCAGGCGTCTACAGCGGACTCCTCAGCATCGTCATTAAGTTCATCAGCTGCTCATAGTGCGTCACAATCAACATCTGGATCATCAGCATTGTCTAGTGCAGGTACATCATCCCTCACAAACCAATTGTCTACTTCCGGTTCGGGTGCGTCATCCTCAAGTTCAGCGGCTTCTCATAGTGCGTCGCAATCAACATCTGGGTCTTCTGCGTCGTCAATTGCAGCAGCAGCATCCCATTCGAGTCAAGCGTCTACAGCGGACTCCTCATCATCATTATTAAGTTCATCAGCTGCTCATAGTGCGTCACAATCAACATCTGGATCATCAGCATCGTCTATTGCAGGTGCATCATCCCACACAAACCAATTGTCTTCTTCCGGTTCGGGTGCGTCATCCTCAAGTTCAGCGGCTGCTCATAGTGCGTCGCAATCTACATCTGGGTCTTCTGCGTCGTCAATTGCAGCAGCAGCATCCCATTCGAGTCAAGCGTCTACAGCGGACTCCTCAGCATCGTCATTAAGTTCATCAGTTGCTCATAGTGCGTCACAATCAACATCTGGATCATCAGCATTGTCTAGTGCAGGTGCATCATCCCACACAAACCAATTGTCTACTTCCGGTTCGGGTGCGTCATCATCAAGTTCAGCGGCTGCTCTTAGTGCGTCACAATCAACATCTGGGTCTTCTGCGTCGTCAATTGCAGCAGCAGCATCCCATTTGAGCCTAGCGTCTACAGCGGATTCCTCAGCATCGTCATTAAGTTCATCAGCTGCTCATAGTGCGTCACAATCTACATCTGGGTCTTATGCATCGTCAATTGCAGCTGCAGCATCCCATTCAAGTCAAGCGTCTACAGCGGACTCCTTAGCATCGTCATTAAGTTCATCAGCTGCTCATAGTGCGTCACAATCTATGTCTGGGTCTTCTGCATCGTCAATTGCAGCTGCAGCATCCCATTCAAGTCAGGCGTCTACAGCGGACTCCTCAGCATCGTCATTAAGTTCATCAGCTGCTCATAGTGCGTCACAATCAACATCTGGATCATCAGCATTGTCTAGTGCAGGTGCATCATCCCTCACAAACCAATTGTCTACTTCCGGTTCGGATGCGTCATTCTCAAGTTCAGCGGCTTCTCATAGTGCGTCGCAATCAACATCTGGGTCTTCTGCGTCGTCAATTGCAGCAGCAGCATCCCATTCGAGTCAAGCGTCTACAGCGGACTCCTCATCATCATTATTAAGTTCATCAGCTGCTCATAGTGCGTCACAATCAACATCTGGATCATCAGCATCGTCTAGTGCAGGTGCATCATCCCACACAAACCAATTGTCTACTTTCGGTTCGGGTGCGTCATCCTCAAGTTCAGTGGCTGCTCATGGTGCGTCGCAATCTACATCTGGGTCTTCTGCGTCGTCAATTGCAGCAGCAGCATCCCATTCAAGTCAGGCGTCTACAGCGGACTCCTCAGCATCGTCATTAAGTTCATCAGCTGCTCATAGTGCGTCACAATCAACATCTGGATCATCGGCATTGTCTAGTGCAGGTGCATCATCCCACACAAGCCAATTGTCTACTTCCGGTTCGGGTGTGTCATCCTCAAGTTCAGCGGCTGCTCATGGCGCGTCGCAATCTACATCTGGGTCTTCTGCGTCGTCAATTGCAGCAGCAGCATCCCATTCGAGTCTAGCGTCTACAGCGGACTCCTCAGCATCGTCATTAAGTTCATCAGCTGCTCATAGTGCGTCACAATCTACATCTGGGTCTTATGCATCGTCAATTGCAGCTGCAGCATCCCATTCAAGTCAGGCGTCTACAGCGGACTCCTCAGCATCGTCATTAAGTTCATCAGCTGCTCATAGTGCGTCACAATCAACATCTGGATCATCAGAATTGTCTAGTGCAGGTGCATCATCCCACACAAACCAATTGTCTACTTCCGGTTCGGTTGCGTCATCCTCAAGTTCAGCGGCTGCTCAAAGTGCGTCGCAATCAACATCTGGGTCTTCTGCGACGTCAATTGCATCAGCAGCATCTCATTCGAGTCTAGCGTCTACAGCGGACTCCTCAGCATCATCATTAAGTTCATCAGCTGCTCATAGTGCGTCACAATCAACATCTGGATCATCAGCATCGTCTAGTGCAGGTGCATCATCCCACACAAACCAATTGTCTACTTTCGGTTCGGGTGCGTCATCCTCAAGTTCAGCGTTTGCTCATGGTGCGTCGCAATCTACATCTGGGTCTTCTGCGTCGTCAATTGCAGCAGCAGCATCCCATTCAAGTCAGGCGTCTACAACGGACTCCTCAGCATCGTCATTAAGTTCATCAGCTGCTCATATTGCGTCACAAACAACATCTGGATCATCGGCATTGTCTAGTGCAGGTACATCATCCCACACAAGCCAATTGTCTACTTCCGGTTCGGGTGTGTCATCCTCAAGTTCAGCGGCTGCTCATGGCGCGTCGCAATCTACATCTGGGTCTTCTGCGTCGTCAATTGCAGCAGCAGCATCCCATTCGAGTCTAGCGTCTACAGCGGATTCCTCAGCATCGTCATTAAGTTCATCAGCTGCTCATAGTGCGTCACAATCTACATCTGGGTCTTATGCATCGTCAATTGCAGCTGCAGCATCCCATTCAAGTCAAGCGTCTACAGTGGACTCCTTAGCATCGTCATTAAGTTCATCAGCTGCTCATAGTGCGTCACAATCTATGTCTGGGTCTTCTGCATCGTCAATTGCAGCTGCAGCATCCCATTCAAGTCAGGCGTCTACAGCGGACTCCTCAGCATCGTCATTAAGTTCATCAGTTGCTCATAGTGCGTCACAATCAACATCTGGATCATCAGCATTGTCTAGTGCAGGTGCATCATCCCTCACAAACCAATTGTCTACTTCCGGTTCGGGTGGGTCATCCTCAAGTTCAGCGGCTTCTCATAGTGCGTCGCAATCAACATCTGGGTCTTCTGCGTCGTCAATTGAAGCAGCAGCATCCCATTCGAGTCAAGCGTCTACAGCGGACTCCTCATCATCATTATTAAGTTTATCAGCTGCTCATAGTGCGTCACAATCAACATCTGGATCATCAGCATCGTCTAGTGCAGGTGCATCATCCCACACAAACCAATTGTCTACTTTCGGTTCGGGTGCGTCATCCTCAAGTTCAGCGGCTGCTCATGGTGCGTCGCAATCTACATCTGGGTCTTCTGCGTCGTCAATTGCAGAAGCAGCATCCCATTCAAGTCAGGCGTCTACAGCGGACTCCTCAGCATCGTCATTAAGTTCATCAGCTGCTCATAGTGCGTCACAATCTACATCTGGGTCTTATGCATCGTCAATTGCAGCTGCAGCATCCCATTCAAGTCAAGCGTCTACAGTGGACTCCTTAGCATCGTCATTAAGTTCATCAGCTGCTCATAGTGCGTCACAATCTATGTCTGGGTCTTCTGCATCGTCAATTGCAGCTGCAGCATCCCATTCAAGTCAGGCGTCTACAGCGGACTCCTCAGCATCGTCATTAAGTTCATCAGCTGCTCATAGTGCGTCACAATCAACATCTGGATCATCGGCATTGTCTACTGCAGGTGCATCATCCCACACAAGCCAATTGTCTACTTCCGGTTCGGGTGTGTCATCCTCAAGTTCAGCGACTGCTCATGGCGCGTCGCAATCTACATCTTGGTCTTCTGCGTCGTCAATTGCAGCAGCAGCATCCCATTCGAGTCTAGCGTCTACAGCGGATTCCTCAGCATCGTCATTAAGTTCATCAGCTGCTCATAGTGCGTCACAATCTACATCTGGGTCTTATGCATCGTCAATTGCAGCTGCAGCATCCCATTCAAGTCAAGCGTCTACAGCGGACTCCTTAGCATCGTCATTAAGTTCATCAGCTGCTCATAGTGCGTCACAATATGTGTCTGGGTCTTCTGCATCGTCAATTGCAGCTGCAGCATCCCATTCAAGTCAGGCGTCTACAGCGGACTCCTCAGCATCGTCATTAAGTTCATCAGCTGCTCATAGTGCGTCACAATCAACATCTGGATCATCAGCATTGTCTAGTGCAGGTACATCATCCCTCACAAACCAATTGTCTACTTCCGGTTCGGGTGCGTCATCCTCAAGTTCAGCGGCTTCTCATAGTGCGTCGCAATCAACATCTGGGTCTTCTGCGTCGTCAATTGCAGCAGCAGCATCCCATTCGAGTCAAGCGTCTACAGCGGACTCCTCATCATCATTATTAAGTTCATCAGCTGCTCATAGTGCGTCACAATCAACATCTGGATCATCAGCATCGTCTATTGCAGGTGCATCATCCCACACAAACCAATTGTCTTCTTCCGGTTCGGGTGCGTCATCCTCAAGTTCAGCGGCTGCTCATAGTGCGTCGCAATCTACATCTGGGTCTTCTGCGTCGTCAATTGCAGCAGCAGCATCCCATTCGAGTCAAGCGTCTACAGCGGACTCCTCAGCATCGTCATTAAGTTCATCAGTTGCTCATAGTGCGTCACAATCAACATCTGGATCATCAGCATTGTCTAGTGCAGGTGCATCATCCCACACAAACCAATTGTCTACTTCCGGTTCGGGTGCGTCATCATCAAGTTCAGCGGCTGCTCATAGTGCGTCGCAATCTACATCTGGGTCTTCTGCGTCGTCAATTGCAGCAGCAGCATCCCATTCGAGTCAAGCGTCTACAGCAGACTCCTCAGCATCGTCATTAAGTTCATCAGCTGCTCATAGTGCGTCACAATCAACATCTGGATCATCAGCATCGTCTAGTGCAGGTGCATCATCCCACACAAACCAATTGTCTACTTTCGGTTCGGGTGCGTCATCCTCAAGTTCAGCGGCTGCTCATGGTGCGTCGCAATCTACATCTGGGTCTTCTGCGTCGTCAATTGCAGCAGCAGCATCCCATTCAAGTCAGGCGTCTACAGCGGACTCCTCAGCATCGTCATTAAGTTCATCAGCTGCTCATAGTGCGTCACAATCAACATCTGGATCATCGGCATTGTCTAGTGCAGGTGCATCATCCCACACAAGCCAATTGTCTACTTCCGGTTCGGGTGTGTCATTATCAAGTTCAGCGGCTGCTCATAGTGCGTCACAATCTACATCTGGGTCTTCTGCGTCGTCAATTGCAGCAGCAGCATCCCATTCGAGTCTAGCGTCTACAGCGGATTCCTCAGCATCGTCATTAAGTTCATCAGCTGCTCATAGTGCGTCACAATCTACATCTGGGTCTTATGCATCGTCAATTGCAGCTGCAGCATCCCACACAAACCAATTGTCTACTTCCGGTTCGGGTGCGTCATCCTCAAGTTCAGCGGCTGCTCATAGTGCGTCGCAATCTACATCTGGGTCTTCTGCGTCGTCAATTGCAGCAGCAGCATCCCATTCGAGTCAAGTGTCTACAGCGGATTCCTCAGCATCGTCATTAAGTTCATCGGCTGCTCATAGTGCGTCACAATCTACATCTGGGTCTGATGCATCGTCAATTGCAGCTGCAGCATCCCATTCAAGTCTAGCGTCTACAGCGGACTCCTCAGCATCGTCATTAAGTTCATCGGCTGCTCATAGTGCGTCACAATCTATGTCTGGGTCTTCTGCATCGTCAATTGCAGCAGCAGCATCCCATTTAAGTCAAGCGTCTACAGCGGACTCCTCAGCATCGTCATTAAGTTCAGCGGCTGCTCATAGTGCGTCGCAATCTACATCTGGGTCTTCTGCATCGTCAATTGCAGCAGCAGCATCCCATTTAAGTCAAGCGTCTACAGCGGACTCCTCAGCATCGTCATTAAGTTCATCGGCTGCTCACTTAGCGTCACAATCAACAACTGGATCATCAGCATTGTCTAGTGCAGGTGCATCATCCCACACAAGCCAATTGTCTACTTTTGGTTCGGGTGCGTCTTTGACGGGTAATGGTGCTAGTACAGTTATGAATGTAAATAATTTTGCTGCAATTAGTTCCTCATCGATAGTACGTAATGACACTTGTGTTTGCGGAATTACTCTTCCTAATTCGATAACGATTGGTAGAGATTACTTCAAATATCCAGCGTATACAGGCACGCTTGTGTATGAGATACCAGCTACCGAAGATTTGTCGTATCACCTTGAAAATCGTAATCATGCTGTTGCCAATGACACTGTGGATCATGTTTATCCTTTGCTCTTTGGATCGGATAACTTTTCATTCCCAACGCTGGCCATGGTTAGTCAAGGGAGTCATCCTGAAAAGAAAATAGATCTCAGTTCTTCAGGAATTAAAGCAATACTTCAGTCATCATTTAAAAATACTGACCAAAACAAAAGCAAGTATTCTGAAGGAAAAGCTAAATATATAGTAGTAAGAAAAACATTTATTTATAAGTTAACTTGAATAATGATGTTTATGTAAACCTTCTTACATGAAAGTATTTTAATGCCAATAGAATCGAAAAATTATATTTATTTTACTGCGAAAAGCAAGATGTTAATATGATTCCTTAGTTGATTTTTTTACAATTTTTAGTCAGTTACTTTGGTATCTTTGGTGGTTGGAAAAAGATTTATTTCAGCATGGGTAATGTACTGTCATATGTCAGAAATAAAAAAGTAAAATACCTACAATAGTGTTATCTCATTCACCTGTTTCCTTATTTACATTTTTTTATGATTTAAAATAATATTTTTGTTTGCATGTAAAGACTAGTGAAGGGTATAAACTAACTTGCTTTATTAAAACGTGTAAGAGAATACCATTACCATTACTCTAATAAGACAACAAAAGATGGAGTACATTCTAGGTACTATTTTCATACTGAACTCATTGTAAATAATGATCTGTTAAAATCCATGCTATTCCTTATGAGAAATACAGTACAAAACACAAAATGCAACGTGACACGTGTAAAACGTTGTCTTCGTAAGGTTTATAACTTTTTTTAGAACTTGTATTTGATTTTGATTTACAATTAATTATTGTACATAATTTGCACTAATGTAAAAAAAATATTGAAAACAAAAACTAATAACCACACATAAGAGTTCGCCTGCATATATTCAAAATTAGGAGATGGGTTCAAAAAACTAGGAGATGATGTGTATAGCTACCAACTTCTTGAATATTTTTAAAATACTGTACTGTAAATCGTTGAGATAAAACTTTAAAAGAATGAAAGTTGCATTAAACGTTTTAAGCTCATTACATTTTCTTGTAAGTTCTTCTAAACATCTAAACTCGACGGATGCTTAAGTTCGTTTAATACAATGCAAAACAAACCTTTTAAGGTAAAACAGAGATTAACTTGTTTTTTAATTTCACTCTTTAAAATAAAGTTTTTTTGAATCAAATATTCAATATATTGTAATTAAAACAACATGTTTGCATGGATTTCAAATTTGTAGAATGTAATAGAATGTGTGTTGAAATACAACAAAATTGTTAAAATGATTCAAAAATGCTTTGAATGCAAACAGAACTCTACACAAAGTGGTCAACACGGTATATTAACAATCGATATATTTTATTTGATATTGAAAAAAGATCATAGGCTAGTATATTTCATAACAAGATATACTCAAGATATAAAAGATATCTATACTATTATATAAAAATCTAATGGTGTCTGTCTGTATGTGTATTACTAATAGGTGCAAAATCTACTGCACCAACTGGGCTTAAATTTTACAAAAATATAGTTACCATATCAAGGACCATTATAGGACTATTCACATTTCGATACTGACCGTAGGCTTTGCCCCTTTGGCTTTAAAAGTTCTGAGGTGAACATTTTAAAAGTAAATATTGATTGGTCTCCATGGCTGCGATGAGAACACTAACAATGTTTGTTTACATTTGCTTTGACATTTAAATGTAAACAAGAAGAACTGCTAAACTGCATATTTCACAATTTCAGACAGCTGATACAAAGAAATTAAATATAATATTTTCCATAACTATGAGGTAGGTTTATTTTAATCTAACCTTTTATCATGAATTATTTATTCTAAAACTATGCCAATGATTATAGAAAAAAAGATTCTATAACCGTTGTGCAACAGTCTAAATTGACTGAAAAAATATGCCACCAGCAAAGTTTTGACTAGCTCTGTTTGGGTCGGGGTAAGTCCTGAATTTGGGCCAAGCAGACACTCGGGCGATATTTTATAATTAATTCATTTGAGGGCGCCACCTTGTTGTATAATATAATAAATCTGTTGTATATGTGTAACTATATTTAATTATCAAATGGTAATACGAAATACTCTTATTTTATCTTAACATAGCTTTCAGTTCACATTTACTTTATTTGATACATTTATTATTTGTGTTTTGCCACACCACTGATTAAATTAAACCCAGGAAAATATCATAAAACTAAGCAGTACACAGTGTCCTTTTGTTTCTAAAATCAATGAAATATCTGTTACTATTTTTACTTGGTAAGTGTGAAAATGTAAAGGCAATGGACGATGGAACTGATTAAAAGAACTGGTTTGCATATTAAGTTGTTTGTTGATATTTTTGTAGAGTAGAATCAGAGATGCAATGAAACATATACTGTATTTGCTATTACATTTTTTAGTCCTTGATGCTTTGATAATCATGTTGGTTTTGTCTGCTGTCTTTAGTGCTAAATTATTTGTTTGACATTTTTTATAGTACCTATAGATATAGTTTCTTTAATGTTTCAAAAGACTGTATTGATAAGGCCAGCGAGCACATAATGTGTTCGCTGGATAAGGCACAGCAATATTTCTTAAGTTTACAACAGCTGACTTAGTTTTGCTAATGGTTTATTGTGAGTGAAGAAACTGAAGATGGAAGGATTTGTGATTTAATATAAAGAAGAGTGAAAAAAATGTTCATTTAAATTTAATAATTAGTATTTTTGCAACTTCAAAATTGAAATTTAAAATGTCAATAATAAATTAAAATATATGTAATTAAGAGAGATAAAGGTAAATCATGTATGTCAAAGTTTTATTCGAAGATTTGGTCAGTTTTTCTCATATCAGTCTACACAAGATTTAAAATTAATCAAAACCAAAATGGTGGTATCCACTACTTACCAGATTTAAAAGTCACAACTTTAACTAAGGCTATAAAAGTTGAATTTTGTTTCTAAAAGCGTTGGTGGATGTGTAACTATTATATGCAACAGATTTAAATATTAAAATGTTTCTATTTCGTGTCCTCTTCCCGTTGCAAAGCACGGGTACAACAGCTAGTATGTAATAAGTGAATCATTACATACAGTATTTGAAACCATATGTTTGAGGTGCGAGATCAAATGTGGTCGAGAATATGTATAGACCCACTTTCACTCGTATTTTGAACAGTACTTTTCGCTACATCACAAAGACAAAGTACTGTATTTTAAAAACAAAAACAGACATTGGTTTGTTTCTTTATTACAGTTAGGAACATTTCAAAACAAGTAGATTTATATTGGTTATGCCTTATATTTAAAGTACAAATTTCCATTGATTGTACAGTTTTGGTCGTTGAAAATTGAACAGTTGATGAAACATAACAAATATTTGTTTGTTTATGTCGGTATAATCCAAAAAAGATAGTAAGCATTACTTTTGCACAGTAAACATACTTTTTGCGCAGAAAACAATGTAACGGTGAATTTTCGTAGGTGATAAACATATAACGGAAATAGATGATTTCACAGTAGTGTAGCGAAAAGGTAAATATTCAGCTAGAGGAATGATGTAGCAGAGAAATATTCTAGAGCATGTATATCATAAGAATATCTGTTTTAGGTTCATTGTGAAAACTAGTTAGTTTTAATTGTTTATATAAAGCTACCGAGGGCGAGATTTAGTAGTGTATTTGGGTGATTTTAAAAGACAATGCAGAATAGGTTGATATAGACCTTTGGTAAAAATACAAATTACAAGTAAGACACCAAGATGATTTTAAGTACCATTGAATAAAACACACTGCTGTGATCATTTTAGGGTAGTTCATGACACACTATGTTATGAGATCACTGATAATTGTACAGTTGTAGCCGACCAAAGACAAAATAGTATTACTTCCTTGTGTGTGGTAGAACCATTAACAATGTTTCCACCACTTTGATGGTCTAACCTAACTCAAACTTCGTAGCGGTTTTCTTATTTGAATTATTACAGGATATTATGTTTGGATTGGATGAAAATGTAATATTTGAAATTACGACTATCAAACCTTTTCACTAATTTTATAAATTAAAACATTGACAATTTGGTGGATGTAGCAGAGTATGTAAATACTTAGGAAGGTCCTAATATTGCAACATGATAAGAACATTCGATTATACTCACACTTTCATTCCTCCTAAGCTGCTCCTACAAAGCTGGTGTGAAATTGTGATCCAAGATGATCTAAATTATCAGTGACTTTTATACCTAGAGTTCTGTTGACACCTTCGTTTGTGATATTAACTGCCCGGAGGAAAAGAATGATCAGATTTTTGATTGGGAAATCATTTTGAATATGTTGACAAAGATGAACTAAGGTCGTTAGATAGTGATTAAGAAATGATATAACAAAAGTTCACATGGCATTTTCACACATTTTGTCTTTCCATCGTCGGATTAATGTCATTTGCTTTGGCGCAGTGACAACATGCTATCTATATATGTATACCCATATATATATACCGTAAATAAATGTACCGTATAAATGTATACCGTATTGCGTTGATTTTAAATAACGGACATAAGAAACAAAATTGTTTCTTTTGTCCGTTATTTAAAATCAAGAATAAGAAGTTTAAGTGAACTACTTTGAGTATAATGGTGGCAATATTGAACTGTACATCTTAAAATGAAAACTACTGAACTTTTTTTTATCAAGTTTGGATTTTATTAAGTGTCTTTTGGGGCTTTTCACTAAATATAATTTATAAAAAATCATTATAGTAGGAGCAGTTAAATTCTAAGAATGAGAGATATTTTGCACAGTATCGGATTTACTGTTACCCATTTTTTTCATGCGTAAAAAATACTCTTCAAAACGAATTCCTATAAATGTATTGGCAAATTCAAAAATTAATATTTGTAAATCCATGGTCTCAAAAGTAAACAGAGGTTAATTGATACATCAGGAAAATGTAGGATTTCATGTCCATCAATTAATTTAACTAAACACATTAAATGTGTTTATTAATTACTTCGTATGGTGTGTCCGAACCTTATTTCAAAGGTTTAAAGTTTCTAAGGATTAAATAGTTTTAATACAGTCAAAACAAATTTTATAAAATTTGAAGAACTGTGTTTTCACATTTTAAAAAAACTCAAGTGATTGCAAAGTAATGACTGCTAAGTATACTTCACAAAGTATGACATTGATATGGTCACTGGCTTACAATGCTTGGTTTAAGTTATGTATTTTTAGGTTTGTAGTTTAATCATCTTTTCATACACATACTATCAACAAGCCTAAAAATATTTATATAAATTAATGACGTAGAATCATATTTTAATACAGGTTTCCCTCCTAAATACCGGGAGGATGTAAAACCTTTCTTGATACGGACAGTAGTAAAGGGAACAAAAATGAAATAGTTTTGGTGCAAAGTTTTATAAAAAAATTATATACAGACATATAATCTAGTTCTAATGCAGTTGTTATCGTCCATGTTAACTCAGTGCCGACGAGCAAGGCAGTATGGCAGCGAAATCGATTATCAGACATCTCTACTTCTTCTTCCTGAAAACAATCAAACAACTTAATACAACAATTGCGCGGATAATAAATAATACTTAGTTTCTTTAAAACCCAAATGAAAATATTTTTTGTTGTGAAAATAAACGCTAAAGATATTTTCATAAGGATGAATGGCTTTGAAATAAGGTTCGGACACACCATACAAAGTAATTAATAAACACATTGAATGTGTTTAGTTAAATTAATTGATGGACATGAAACCACTACCGCCTAAACAAACATTCCCTGATATAAAAACTAACTGAAAGTTCTTCGGATCTGCTGTATAAAATAGTTAGGTACACACCTATTCTTTATTTTTCAATAAAACCTTATTTTACCACCTAGTGAAGTAAAGTTCTTTCCTTTATATTTAGATAAGGGGTTTGAATTCTCTAAGCAGCTTTGAGGCCTTTATAATTGTATAAGTGGCGCTGGCGTGTGCTTACAATTACTGTAACTCTATGATTTAGTTTGAAAACATAAACTTTTTGAAATTGTAGACCTGTTTACTTTCAAGACCCTACTTAAAATTGTCATGCCAATATATTAAAAAGAATATAACAGCATACCTTATTGAAAGTCTAAAATCCTTGCAGCAGTTTTTTTATAGTTTTTTTATAGTCCTTGCTCATTGTCATTCTGGTGCTTGACCCAGGGAAAAGGTGAAACGAAACGTATTTGTAAAGTAATTTTGGACGGACTAGAAAATGAAGGTAGTGATGTTTACGTTTCAAGCAAAAATTTCTACAACTGCTTACCCCCAAGATCCGGCGCTAGAGCTAGACTGAGCGCTGCTTTGGCTACTGGACCAGCTACCACTCATGGGTGAGCCGCCACATCCGCCGCCTCCACAGGGGCTGTAGTGTTGTGGGGGCGGTGGCGGGGGTGGCTGGTAGTGCTGCTGCTGCTGCTGGCAAGGGTCGCACACAGGACGGGGAGGTGGAGGTGGTGGATGATACATCGGCTGCTGCTGACACGAGTAGCAGGGCTGAGGAGGAGCGTACATTGGATGCTTCATGCTGGAACAGAAATTTGATAATGTAGCAAACGCATCTAAATACCAATGTTTAGTTATTAATAGAGTTAAAAATTGAACTATGAAAACGGACTGGCTGTAAACTGTCAAATTTGGGCCTTCTAAAGAACTGAAAAAAAACTGGCTGACATTTCAGATGCGTTGGCCAAAATTTTTACCAGAACCAGTCATCTTCCGAAAATTAGAATTTTACGCGTTGAACGTAGATGAGGAGATACACCTACAGTTTGAACAAATACAGCTTAGGATGAGAATGTATTGATCGTCCGACTTGAATTACAAGTCATCAGCACTAGTTTCTTTCTCAGACAAACGAGTTTAATATTACACAATAAAAGGAATTCAACAAAAGCACTTTGAACTTCGCAATCTTAAACTCGTCCTCAAGTTACCCTGTTTAAAATTACCTTATTAAAATCTGCCTCAAAAACTGTGCTGTAGGATAGCTCGCTTATGACCAAAGAATTATTGCTTAGCAAGATTCTTTTACTTACAGAATCTTAGGCATCATTCCACAAATCATGCAGCCTTTATGTTTGGAGAATGTCCTTTTCCTCCGCGCCAATTTTTGTTCGCTTAGAGGAACTTCCCGAGGACTGCCTTGCATCTCTTCGGTCATCTCCTTCTGAAAGTGGAAACCTGTGATTAGATGAACAAATATGAGGAATTTTCTGGATCTGGACTTTTTTATTGTTGCTTTAAACGAGTTCTATGTGAACATAGTTGGCCACTTATAAATTATAACCATGGTACATCATCTTTTTAATTCACATATCTTTTGAACTAGTATTATATAGGTAATTAAAGTTCCAGCATTAAAACCCAGTCACAATCCTCTTGAATTTACCTTAATTATAATTTGTTTACAGTCAATAATATATTTAAAAACTAGTTAAAGGGGTCATATTATGATATTCCTACTTACCACCAAATTATCTCCTGATGCTAGGCCCATGACGGCTTCTTCTGGTCCGTTGGAAACAGGAATCTCAAGAGCGGGCATAGGAGCTGCAGGAGACTCCTGGGTATCCTGGACAATCCCACGGGACTCTCCGAGGCCATTCCTTGGGGATTCAGGGAGGTCCATCATAAGGGACATCGCAGGTTGGAGTCGGGTTGGGCTTTGTGGTGAAACTATACAGATTTAAACACATATTTTAAGCTACTAATAGGTGAGATGGGAAGGAAGTTTTATTTTTACGTGATAGGATGGATAAAAAATGGATCTCGTACTAGCATAGATAAAAGGAGTCCTTTTATCTATGGTACTAGTAAGATATTCATCTGGGTGTAATCAGATAACTTATCGACTATCTTAACTCTTAATTCAGTAAGCAAAATTGTTGAAATTATAAACTAAACAAAGAACACTGAATGAATAACGTATTAGATCAAGTTTAGGATGTGGAATACATCGTACAGCGAGCAGAAAAGTTATTCCATCTAATTGATATTCTGTGAAGGTTTTTCATCACCGCATACTTTATGCACAATCTTACAGTAGTACGATTGTTATTCAGTGGCGTTAATACGACTATTATTCCGGAAACGGAAACATGTAATCCCCTGGCCTTGCTAGTATAAATGGTCAGTTAAAGTTTTGCAAGGAATATTTCAATATTTAATGACAAAAAATACAGTCGTTGTGTTGCTAATGATGAATCGTAATTGAAGCACTTATATTTGTAAATTCTCCACACAACATTCCTTCTAGGCTAGGCCTATTACTACGTTTAACAACAGAGCGATATACAAAAAGGTATTTTATTGAAACAAAATTAACAAACAGGGAACAAAATTTAAAAGGCTACAATGAAAGGACTTACAATAAAGAGTGCTTACAATAAAGAGGAAGATAATTTGAAATTTATGCCTATTAGGTTTAAATTTACAATAATCTAATTTAAATGGGCTCTATCACAGTGTATGGCTTGAATCAATGACTAGTCAAAGCTTGAATGCAAAGAATGAATGAATTAAATAATTTCCAAATAATTAAAGTGTTTAACTTACAACATTCTAACAATGAACATATGCAT